TAGTGGCTTGATTACTGAGTTTTCCCTGTTCCTATACTCATTTGAAGGTCCTAGTACCTTAGTGCCTCTCAATCATGTTAAAGGATAAATATTCTGCTACTTTTCCTTGCTGTGCTTTTACCTTTTATATGGATTTGTGCACCATTTTTTTTTTAAGGAGCATGTGCAGGAAACTTCAGCTTTGCACGATAACATACTGATTTTATGTCTCATTAGACTTCCTTTTGTCTCTTATTTGTTTTGTAGCAGGCCTCTGTACCTTCCCATTAGGAATTCAATTGCATATCACTGCAATTGAAAGGGTAGGTTGTGTACTGATCTGCTATCCTGCCTAGGAAGGAGCTTAATTAGATTTTAGAAGCAATATGGGTACATTAGGAATTGCACGGGGAATGTGAAGTCTTTATTTGGATTTTAAACACCAAATTGTAGGTCTCAACAGATTTGTCAGTTATGAGGATTTAGACCTTATCTAAACATATGGCAGAAAGCTATGCAAATTCACTCTTTTTTTTCCGGAAAGACTGCTGAAGGCCTGGGGAATTGTAGCAATTTCTATTGCACTACACAATTTTGCTTGTGGATGTCAACAAGCTTAGTTTGTTAGTTAATGTCTTTGGAGGTGGTACAGTGGTACACTATGGACAGGGATCAACTCCTGTCTACAACATTACCCTTTATGTCTCTCTATACACACACACAAAATAAAATAAAAAAGGAACATTTTCTTACATTCTGGTTGTTTAGAAAGGTCTGTTTGCAGTTTTCCATGTTATGTCTTTGAAAACTGTGGTTGGCATGTATTGTTATGTCATTTTGCACTTCTGCATGAATAGAAATTTTCATTTCTTGAGCAGTGCTGTGATTTCTGATGGTGATCATGTACTGTATTGCTGCAGATACAAGCGCCTTAATCACGGCTGGACCTTATGGCCTGATCTTTTCTTCATTTGTACCATTCTTCTTTGATATTCCTGTGTCAACACGATTTCGGTTGTTTGGTTTTCACTTCTCTGACAAATCTTTCATATATCTGGCTGGTCTTCAGGTAATGCATTATTATCTGGTTTTCTTCAACCCTTATACTTTGTATGATATGTGGCCCTTTGCCGGTGTCATTTTTCCATCTGCACCTTTGACTTCATTGATTCCCCATTTCTCCCATGTTTTTCCATCCTTGTCCTTACTGCAGTGTTTATTTTGCAGTTGCTTCTATCATCTTGGAAAAGATCGATTTTGCCAGGAATATGTGGCATCATTGCTGGTTCCTTATACCGAATGAACATTTTTTACATCCGCAGAGCAAAGGTTATAATTTTATAGTTACACCCCACCCTCCCTCCCCTCCTGGAGAGGTGGGTCAGAGACTCTTGCTTTGGTTCCTTTTTTTTTTAATTTTTTTTTGCTTTACTCCTATTGTATGCTCATAAGAATAGTCCTCATGAACCTAGGATATGAGCTAGGCTCTGATCTACATAAACCTCTTACCACAACCGGCAAACCACCCCCCCCCCTCTTTCTCTCTTCCAAATATAAACATTCGAATATTGGCTAACTTTACCAACTTGGTTTTCATGTTTGCAGTTGCCTGATTTCATCGCCTCTCTGTTTTCGCGGGTATCTTGGCCATCTACGAGGAGCCCATCAGCTACAACTGGGATTAGGAGTGTACCAGCTACTGCACCTTATGCGGGGCGTCAAGTTGAGGCAAGTACATCTGCTTCATGATTTTATCTATTTTGTCCCTCTTCCCCCTAAAAAAAACCTTGAGCTATGATGCACGTAAACATTCATCCCAAGCTCCCCCTAAACCTCCCTGTATGTGAAGCGCAAAATATTTCTGAACGCCCAAATAAGACTAGACATGCCCCAAACGTGAGAGGCATTTTTCAAACTTGCAAGTGACTCATGTGCATTGTAAGCATGGTACATCACGTATATGTACTGACTATTACCCTTATATTATATATGTTGCACCATCCTTTCACTCTGTTACAAGTACATTATAAAATTTTTGCAATGCAAATGGTATATTTCTCCCAATCGATTAAATTTTTTAATGATTTATGTTTCATAGAAATTGTAATTGCACATTTGCACATCTTCAGTAGAGGCTCTGGATAAGGCATGGACTTTTAAAGCCTAAAGCACATATTTTTATGTAAAAACATTCCTTGTATTATAATTTATTACCCTAATAAAAGACCACTAATGTGACACTGATTCCTTTCTAAGTTTCTCAATAATAATCTATTGAATTACTTGAAGGTGAAAAGTACATTGGTTGTAATTAGGAAAAGAGGCCTTTTTTGTTGAAGCTGGGAAGGTATCGTTAAAACTAGGAAGAGGGGGAAGGGGGTTAGCAGAGCAGGGTGAGGGATTAAGCACATGGTTGTTGAGGTGAACAGAACAAAGAGGATTGAAAGGGTTTTGAGTTTGTGATACTGGATGGATTAAAGAAGAGGAATTAAGCACATGGTTGTTGAGGTGAACAGAACAAAGAGGATTCAAAGGGTTTTGAGTTTGTGACACGTGATGGATGAAAGAAGATCAGCCTTCTTTCAGATAGCGTTGCTTTACACTTACTTTTGATGGAGTGGATTTACGTGCAGTTGGCAGGTTTGGGTTTATTAGTTTCCAACATTTCATCATGTATATCTTGAGACAAGTAGTCAAGTATCACAGTAGATTTGTGACCCGGTGTTGTTAATATTAAGCTAGGTTACACAAAAACGGATATGGGGACAAAAACGGATACGGATACGGGGGCGGGATACGGCAAAATCAAAAATTCAAAAAACAGGTACGGCAAAAAAAATCAGCAGAATATAAATCTATAAAAAGTTTCAAAAAAATAATTAAAAAAAAATCCATACAAAGAAAAGTCCACTTAAGGTAACATTTTCATCACATAATTACATGATAATCATAACCATTTTAAATGAAAAAAAAAATAAAATAAAATAACAAAGCACAAACCTATTGAGGTTACTGTCCGCTACAATGAATTGAATTGAAAGAAAAAAAAAAAGAAAAAAAAATCAAATAATCACATAACCATTAAAAATAAAAACCAAAACTAAAAATAAAAAGTGAGTACTGCTAAAGCTAAATTCGAAGAGAAAAAATAAGAAGTAGAACTGTAGAAATAGAAGAAGGTAAAGTAAATAGAAGTTTCGCCAGTGTCGGGGTGGGTCGCAGGTGGTTGCCGGCAAGGAATTGTGGCCTCATGGGTCTCAGCAGGTGGTCGCCGACAAGAAATCAAGGAATCTTGGCCTCTTAATTTCTAGGGTTTTTGAGAAATCAACCTAATGTAAGTAAATTTGGGGATTTTTTAAAAAAAAATTGGCTGGGTTTGTAGTGGGGACGTCAGAATAGAAGAGGATCTGTCCCTGAGACGTTTCCGGAGCTCCTACCAGCCGTCCCCAAAATAGCTTACTGTACCACATTTCGAGGGTACTCCATGGGGACGTATTTGGGCCGTACCCGTACCGTACTGTACCCGTCGTCCTTGGTACGGGAACGGCTACACTTTGGCGTACCCGTACATCATTGATATTAAGTACTAAGCCTGTCGGCCTGTCCAGCATTGTGCTGTTCAGTATACATGGTGGATATTATGGATGTGGAGCATTAGTGGTGGCCTTGGCTTAATTTTGTTCTATACCATTGGTGGGTCAAAATTGGTGTCACTAATTTGCTCAAATTGCCTGCAAAACATGTTCTGGAAAGTGAGAATTGGTACATAGTTTAGTTTTGCAGTTTACGTGTAACGAAATCAAGGAGCGAATTACATTCTCTTACCCTTTCCACGTACTAGAACATCTGTTTTCTAGGTAACACTGGTCATATATATTAGAAAAAGCACATAACCAGTTGCACATTGTAATAACATAAGCACTGGCCAGCATGCTAAGCTTTTAGCTTTATTACACATCACAACTGCCTCTCATTTAGGAGGAAATTGTAGTCAAGTAACCTACATTTGCCGTCTGCATTAATGCATTGTGGCATGCCCTTGTTGGATTTCATTTGAGTTAACTTTTTTTTTTTTTGAATTGTAGAGAAACTACCCTTCTCCAGTTGTCGGCTCTGTGGAACCATCAGATGACTCCGTTGCAATGCTAGTATCCATGGGTTTTGACCAAGATTCCGCCAGGCAAGCACTTGTGCAAGCTAGAAATGACGTCAATGTTGCCACAAATATCCTTCTTGAAGCACAATCCCATTGATGAAGACAAGTGCAGTTGCTATGGTAAATTGGCTCTTGTTCGTTTTGTATCATCCAAATATGGTTGTGAACAAGATAATTGATTTCCATAACTATCAGGAACGATAAGAAAACAAGGCTCGGTTGTTTTCCATGATTAAGGGGTTCCTTGTAGCAAACCTAGAACTCATTGGCATATAATTCTTCCTTGATTCCCTTTATTCCTTAAGAATGGGGGACTCACATTTAGTAACAAAGCATATAAGCTGACAAACTTTTTGACTTTAGAAGCCTTGTGCAGCTTGTTAGGAGTTACTTTGATGTAAATTGTTCGTTTCAGGAATGTAGCAGTGTAATTTATACTTCGTAAATTTTTTTGCAATTTTCTTATCCTGTCCTCACATCTATTATAGTAAAGGAAATTTCATAGGCTATTGTTACTAAGAATTGCTTTGATTTAGGGAGGTTTGGAAACATCTAACCAAACTATTTCTGGGTAAGTTATTGTATTTTTTAACCCACATTTTTTTGGCGTCAACCCAATAGATTCTAGTTTCTTTAGAGGCATTGGGGCAACGTTGATGTTTGATTGAGACGTATTTTCTTCTGTCATTCCAAATTAGATGCGAGTGCTGTTATGTTTTCTTCTGTCATTCCAAATTAGATGTGAGTGCCGCTATATTTTCTTCTGTCATTCCAAATTAGATGTGAGTAAACATCAATCTTAAAGGTTGTATTTTGGTTCATCTTGACAAGCTTAAAGCAGAGGAGTCCACTGGTAGGGGATGCATTAAGTCTGTAATCTCTTATATTGCAAATTTTTCAACACACATAACTAATGCGGAGTACTTCATACAATTTTTGCGTAAGGCCAAACTTTTCATCATCATCAATTTATACTTGTATATGTGTTTTCAAAATCAATTCCATACTCGAGTTCTCTGAGAAACTGGTGCACATATTTCATGTAGACTAGAATAACAGAAGGAAAAAAGAAAAAAAAAATTGATTAAGTATACAAAATAAAACTTGTGTAGCGTATTCTGTGCTGCAAGGAAGCACTTCTTTATTGGCTCCAAACCAAAGAACAAGTTTCTTGATGATCATTTGAAACCCCAGTGCCTCTTGCAATAAAGATAGACTCAAAGGCCTGGGTAACTATATGGTGCTGAGATCTATTCGACTTTTATGAAGTTGAAATGCAGGGGTGATCCAACTCCCACAATTGCATTGAATACCTGACCAGTTGAAGTAGCCTAAGCGAGCATCACAGTGGACACATAACAGTTTCCCCTCAATCGCCCCTTCTTCAACTGTATGACATTAATAGTATGGTTAATGAGACAAACCTTCACAAAGCAAATGCAGCATCATGTGGACTATTTAAACAGAAGTATGATCTCCAGAGCATGAGTGGACAAGAAAAGTTGAGAAGAGAGGGGTTGGGGGTTGCAATCTTAAGCCAGCTTTCCACTCCCTCGATTTAATTTAATTGTTGTGTGTAAAAATTTTAAACATGACGCAACTTTACAAGATACAAGTTATAATAGTTGTAACTTATAAAGTCTACAATTCTCCATCACTCAAACCAATCAATACAATTTAGGAAAAATCACAATTTGCTAGGGCATCCTAAAAAAAATACTTCTTCTGTTTTCCCAAGTTTTATTCACTTTTGCCTTATACCTTATTTGGTCATTGGTTTTCCTCTTTTACCTTCCAACACCCCACACGAGATCAATTTTACCATTTCCTCCCCACTACCCCAAAAATACAGAGTGGTCTCTTTTCCTATTCTCCTTTAATCAATGGAGCTAAGGTAACTGAGTAGAACGTGAAAACCAGAGAGTATATACAACTATATGCCAGACAATGAGAATATGCTTTTATTGTAGCACCACAGTAAAAGTAACTAACCAAAACCTAGGGTCAGATCAGCATCAGTAAACCAAAGTTATTAGTCAAGGTGGCATATAGCACCCCCATCAGCAAAATAAAAAAATAAAAAAAAATGGGGAGGGTGTTGTTATGAAATGAGAAACTTGCATTGCAGGAATATACTATAGTAAATCTTTCTGTAGCATCATGCTGAAAAAGTGAACCATGGGGGTGTCAGTCATACTTTGCCTACGATGAACTTTCTTACGTATTATTTAAGTATAAAGAAGAGGGAAATTTCATACGGAGTATTTAATCTACTGCTCAATAGGAGCCCTTGTCATTTGCTTGAACTGCCTTTTCATCTCTAAAAGAAAAAAGGGAATAGGGACTTGGATGGAAAGAAAGATTGAAATTACCTGCTTTCATCCATTTTAATGGCTCAACAAAAATGGAGGAGCATCCAAAATCATCAGATTTGTCATATGGGTTTCCACTTCTCCTTTTGTGCCACTGAAAGGCTGACATGCCTTCACCTGGAACGTGATCCACAATATTCTCTTGCAAAGCAACAACTCTCCGGCACTTCTTACAGCGATATGCAACATTAGAATTTTTATTACCATCTGGCAATCCTTCTGGCCTAGGAGACTCAACTTGTTGTGGCAAGCCAGGATCTGCTCCAAACTTTGAGCTGTCTATTTTATGCCCACGATTATATGAATCACCTGAAATCAAAAGACTGGTAACTCAGCTTTTAGGCCTGAAATGAGTTTTTGCTTTCAAGACTAGGAAATAGTTCTCAAAATATAACACGTCAAACATATTACTACAGCCTCCTGCAAGATTCATCTTACTGCTAATGTCCTTCAACTATTTTTTGAAAGGGACTCCAGGTCAGAAGTTTAGCACAAACATGGCTATTCAGAGCAAGTAAGTTTGCTAGATAGTTATTTCGAGCTAAGAGATGTTTACTTGCCAAAAACATTTTCAGTTGTTTAGATGTTTAGGGACACCTTTAAGGGGTATTTAGGACTGTCTGCATCCACATACCAATCAAATGCAGTTAAGAAAATTTTTGCCTAAGATTTTCACAGACTATTCTCTAACCTATGTTGCCTCTATAGATAATCTAATGGAATCTTTTCTGAATTCTGCATGGATAAATCTGTTTGTATAGTTTCAAAAGTTTATGGCTTCAAAAGGCATCTCTAGAGGTCCCTCATGCAATGAGGAAAAAATAGGCGCATGCAACAGATCAATGAAGGACAAAACTAGAAGAATAAATGATTCTTAAAGATAGAGACTCTTACATATGTTCTTTCCATCTCTTAATGTTTAGCAGTGAAAGTCTCAACAGGAGTGAATTTAACCTCTCTATTTCAATGAAAAGCCAGAATTTGGAAGATGAAGCCCAACATGGAAACATAAATTGGATCTTAACAGCCACATGCAAGATGTGTTAAGGAACTCCATCAAATCCTCACAAGCAGCAGCAAAACCCCAAGGATACACACCACAACAGATAACAATTTAGAACCAATACTCTATTAATTAGATCATCAGGCCGTACATGGTAAAAAGCTTCAATAAAAAAGATAGACAGATCTAGCTTAGGCAAACTGGACATCGATAATCAATTCAATGATACCAAATTACCAATCAGACATGGTGAATGTAAATATGATAAGGCTAAACAGGAAGAAATACCCAATATTCTCAAACGAAATCGCTTATATTGGGTGTTACCGCGATCAACTTTAAAACCCATCTCCTCAAACATTTTCAACTGCAGATGAGCAGAAGGAATTTAGTCATGTTTACAAAAGGCACTTGAGGCTTGAGAGCATTTACAGTATATAAATATACACAATGCATTAAGCGCCAATCTTGAAAGTACTTCTCACCTGTTCTAGAAAATTATCATTGGGTGAAACAAACTCACAACATTGCCGTAAGGATTCAAGCGCAGCTGCATAACGTGCCGCAGCATGACCAATGAAGGTAGGAGAAAATCATTAAACACAAATGAGAACAAAATTCACAGATAAGCGCAATAGAAGCTTCGAATAGCATATAACTCTCAGACCTTCCTGAGATAGTTGTTCTGATCTCATCAAATACGCTGTGATAATTGCTGCACTGCGATAGACAATTGCAAAGAAGAGTGTAAAATTTGTAAGCCCTGTAGGACTTGATAAAGCAGAAAACCGGAAAAGCAATTGCAATGTACATTTCTGAAACTTTAGGAAAACTATTAGCACATTGCAAAATAAAGCTGAACATATAATTTTTTAAAAAGGTAATGAATATATTGGATGTTATACAAATGACCTATTTTAAGGCTACCATAACTACCAAAAAAAACCTTCTCTAAACCAAGTATATACAAAATAAACACCCAACATCATTCTTCTCAAGGTATCATCAGCGTAATTATAATATTATTATTATTATTAAATAAGACAACGACAGAAAGCAAAAGAAGCTTTTGGATAGAATTTGTTATTGATGACTACATCTATGCTTAGAAATCAAGCACCGTTCTGCTAGTCTATTTCTCATAAATTAAGACAGTGATGAAAGAAAAAAGAAGAGAAAAATGCATAAGTCCCACTTTGCTTTAAGTTATCTAATTTTAAAGATTAAAGCTTGGCTCCACTCAATAAGTCTATGACAATACGTTTTGACACCAAAGATTTTTATTTTTTTACCGCAAAACATGGGAAGACTGCTTTTCTAGGTTACTAAATAAGTCAACATCTTCACATGGACCACGTCTATTACTCTGTGACAAATCAAGTCTTTCCAATTTTTTCAGCCTTATCTTTTTAGCATTATAATAAGAATGACATCAATTAAAAAAAACAACAGACTCTACAATCTATATCATCTGGCTGATAGGTTTCAACCTTATGCATGACTTTCACTTCCTAGTGTTCCTACAGATTCAAAGTTCTAATGTTCTGTAATTATTGCTTTGCACCCCAAATTTGGAATCTAATCCAAGAGGAGACAAATTCTCTTAAAGCTTATCTAAAGCTACCAGAACAAGCCGCACTAGCCTGTGCAGAATACTTCAGTTTTTAGATTTGGGATGCCATGGTTAATGCCCTGCCCTCCTGTGAGCAGCAAGAGCAATGGTTACAAGTGCAATTTGCAGGGGAACATAAAGACAGGCTCATTATCCAACTCAGAGCATTACAAGGATTTATATTTATACAAATATTTAAAAATAATATATTATAAAAAGAAGGGGTAAGAGAATGATGGTTCATATCAACAATGAAACCACCAGATGAGAAGAAAGCAAACACTTAGCAATGCCAACATACTTCCCAAGTCTAAATTCTAATCAACCATAAACAGCAATCATGACTGGATTACAACACTTAAAGGCTTAAAGCGGCATGCGAGTCATATTACATACTACATGATATTAAGTGCTTTTGTTCTTTATCCATCCAAGGAAGTGTGTTTGATTGAATTCAATTATAAAGCATCAGAGAGAAAAGGATAGAAACACTTGAGATAGGCATAGTAACACTAATTGTGGCTATCTATTTGGTCCACAATTCACTCCATTACCATCTAGAAAACAGCTGCCTAACAAATCAGACCCTTAGGAACCAGGAAACAAAGTAATCACAACTTCTTAATCAGTCCCTTAGTAGCACATAACTTCCCACTACATTAGTCTCCCCAAATTCTTCCATATCTAAACAAGCCCTGATTTAACCGTGCACAATAGATTTAAAGGGTCCAATTATTAACAAAGCTGAAACCAATAAGCAATAACTTCCATACAAGATTACAAGGAAACGTAACAGTACTCCATGCTGCACTACTATGTGAGTATGTGTGATTCAAAATCGCTAGTAACAGAAAACACATCCAGAGAAACCCTCTCCCCAAACCACTGTCCGTGTCAAAATGTAAGCCCTTTTAGTAAATGCCTTTATAATCAATCTTGATGGCTGCAATGCTGGCATACACCCCCCCTCCTCCCCCCCCCCCCCCCACCCCCGCCACATCCCAACCCCAATAAAGAAATGGTGCTCCTCTCAAAGAAAACCATGCTCTAATTAACCGAAATTGGGGCATCAGTTTTCCACAGACACTAAACAACAGTCCAACTTGCCTAAATGGAGTATGTAGTTCAGCTATTCCAGTCCAAAAATATCTGTCAGCAATCAAATCGGATAACCACAGCCAAGTAACCCTACAAAACTGTCCTTGTTAATAATCAACTAGTGTAAATACTTCTAAACCAAAAATTATCTTCAAAGTTTCTTTTCTATTTTTGACCACAAATTTTGAGAGCCAATTTGCTAATTTGGTCAGGTAAGCCAAAGACATACTTCTATGCTACAGATTTTGGATTAAAATGAAACAAAATTAAACATGGCTCATATGATTGCCTGCACTTTCTTATCTACTATTACTCCATATGAAGTAGCAAAACTGTCGTTGAGTATCAAATTAGAGGTCAATACGCAACTTCCATTCTACAATCACAACAATAAGACAACAGCCGCTACATGGCCTACACGCCACTTGCCTGCCCATCAAAACCTTAGCTCAAAGAACATTAAAGAACAACATCTAAGTTTCCTAATTTGATAATCGCGGTATATTCCAAGATTGCCAACTAGCCTAGTTCATCAAAGCGGGTGGTACCTAAACCCGGGATCAAATTCCGTCTACATCACTACCTCGACTACGTGCTCGGTAAAGATTACAAACTTGGATTTTCTCAACTTAGCAATATCAACAATTAACAAAACAAAACATAATTAATTCAAACAATCAAAGAACAAGAATTACCTCCTTGAAACACCAGCAAAACAATGCACCAAAACAGCTCCATTTTTCCTTCCATCTTCAATAAAATCCAAACAAACGTCCAAATAATCCAACAAATTCTCGTCCTCAGTATCTTTAAGTGGAACAGCCATCCTCACAATCTTCAAATCCTTTCCAGCATACTCCATATTATAAACCTCCTTCTCCGGAGAAAGTGCGCTCTTCGAACCATCAACAAACTCCGAATCTCCGGCAAAAACTCGACGGATTTCCTTCGCCGGAATCACAAGCGAACTCCTCCATTCACTGAAAAACGAAATCGACGATGAACTCAACATTGACAATACATGAGTAATCTCATCGCTTCCTTTCTCGAGAATTTCCGCAGCATCTCCAATGTTACTGATGAACAGATTTTCCCTTACTAAATACGGCATTTCACAAATTCACTATCACCTGCGAAATCGAAAATCGATGAGAAATCGGAAATTAGGGTTTGGAAGGAACCTTAGGAGAGAGAAAATACGATAAAAATGGCGGAAGAATTACGGAAGTTCGCCGTACACGATGGAGAAAGGGAATATTCCGGCGAGTTTGTGTGTGTGGGATAAGTGAAGAACGGTGAAGAGTAAAGAGCGGTTAGTGTTTAAATAAGGAGAAGAGTGGCACGTGCGAAAATTGGTGCAATGCAAATTGAGGTAGTGGCACGTGTGAGAGTATTGGACCTATTATGGGTGGAGATGTTAGCTTTGTGAGAGGCCCAAGGGGTTCGACTTTCGATGTTGATTTTTTATTTTATTTTTAATAAGCGGAAAGAATCAAATTATTAAGGGCTTAATAAAAAAAAATATACGTATTTTGAAAACCAAAAAAAAAAAAAAAAAAAAAGAACAATAGAATACATCAAAAAATACATGTAAAATATTCTCTATTTTTTATTTAGTTGCAACATATGAATATGTTTTCATGTAAGTCAATGCATAATTTCAACCGTTTATAGTTTTAGTTATGAACTTGTAACGAGTAGCACACATCGAAATGAATCTTACAAGATTTTATATGATTTTTTTTATTTCACAAAATATAAATAAATTGAAAAAATGAGTAGTGTATGTACACTTTTAAAATGTCACAACTAAATTAACAAACATATTAGTTTAGGACCCGTGCCATACACGGTAAGTCTAAAACAAATTATATATTAATTATATAGCTATATAACAAACAAAATAAATTAAAAAAAATATTAAAGATATGCAATGAATATCGAAGACCTAATTAAATTATGAGTAATACAAAATGTAAACATATACTGATTAAATAAAGTAAAAATATAAAGGGAAATTCTTAAAGATGACCCCCAACTTCTGCTACGCACCAATGGTGACCTCCCTTTTTATTTATTATACAAAATGACCTTAGTTAAAAATTTCATCTCACTCATAACCTTATTTCATTAAATATTAACTATGGTTAGATTAATATTTATATATATAAAAAATAAATAAATTAATTAATTAATTAAAAAAATTAACCCCAGCCTTCCTAAAAACCAGCCACCACCTGCCAGCCACCATCCCCCTTCCGGCGACACTACCTCAGGTTCCTCCGATCGCCGACGACACTACCCAGGCTCCCCCTGACTTGCCGGTGACGCTGCACCAACTCCACCTCGACCACCGCCAAGCCAGATTCCCAAATCTCCGCCCACAACCCTCCCTCGTTCTCCTCCTTCTCACCGCCACCACCACTAGAACCGCCGAACCCAAACCACCAAACCACCGATCTCTCTCTCTTTCTTCTTTGCCATCTCCTCCACCCTCTCTATTTTTATCTTCCGCCATCTTCAATCCATGCCTGGATTCGAAACCGCAAACCTAAACCCACCATCCCTCCTTAACCAAAACCAACCCCACGGCGAAGCGGTGTGAATCAAAGGTTAGAAAAGCAATGGTCAGAGGAGAGAGAGTTGTAAGGTAGGGTTTGGGTCTAGGCGGTGGAAAGGGTGGAGGCAATGGTTCGACGGTTTGGGTGGGAGGTCGGCATTAGGGGGTTCGGTGGCTCTGGTGAGGGTGGAGGTGGTGCTAGCTACATTTGGTGGGGATGAGGGTGAAGGTGGTGGCTGGGTTGGTGGTTTTTTTTTTTTTTTTTTCAAAGTTAACCATAGTTAGTTTTTTTAAATAAATAACACTCATTGATATCATATGTGAGATAAATTTCTTAACTGGGGTCATTTTGTATAATAATAAATAAAAAAAAAGGGGGGGGGGGGAGGTCACCATTGGTGCGTAGCAGAAGTTGGGGGTCACCGTTGAGAATTTCCTTAATATAAATAAAGTAGAATGGTAAACTAAAGGTAGTTGATCACCAATCGCTTTAAAAATGTTTCAATTTATCTAATTTATTGCATAGAGTATTTAAGCAAGATACACATAGAGTCCACAACTTGTGATTATGTCAGCAATGTCTAGTCCAGTTTCATCATTAACTCCAGCAGATATCTCGTAAAAAAATCCATTGTCCGATTCACATTTGGCATCAGTCGTCAATCTCTGAATTGAAGCAAATGAACAAATTTAATAGTTAGTTTAAGAATAAATTTAATTGCTAGTTTAGCAATAAAGGCATGGTATCATATTTGTTAAAAACCCAAAAAAAAAATATAATTGTGCATGATAATAATTAAAACTCTTATTTCAAGTAGACTATAAAATAGAAAAAGGACTTTTTTTTACTCGTAATTAACTTTAGGCCCCAAAAGTACTTCATATGATATAGCCAAGTAGTTATGAAAATGCCTTGTAAAAAAAAAAAAAAGTAGTCATGAATATGCAAAAAGATAAAAACATCGACAACCAAAATGAATATCAAATGTCTCTGACAATGCAATAGAAGCTCTAATAAGGTTGAAAATAAGCATTAATTCTTGCAAAGGAGTATGAATACTTAGATTACATACAACATATACAAAGTATGAAAAGTTGGTAATATAAGAATGAATAATACAACAAATACAAAGTAAGAAAAAGTGGTAATATAAGAATGAATGTTATAAAGAATAATAAAGATAATAAATAAAAAAATAAAAAAAGGCATTCTTTCAATTCTCATATTAATTGAACTTATTTGAAGTGCATCGGTTTATACAATAGGCACTTACCATGTTCATGCTCATAACTTTTTATTGATTTCCCTTTTGCAAAGTTTAACTTCTTCAGTAAACTCATCTAATAATAACGGCTCTTTAAACAATATCACAGTTGTATTAAAAGTACATATTGAAAGTCTATAGTACATAATCCGATCCTTCTCTTTCTTAACAATACTATTGCGAATGTGTAGAATTTTAAAGCTTTAATATATGTTAGTAAAATTGGAAATATCTTAATGTAACGACATCAGCAAAAGCTTTTTAAAAGCAATTGTAAAGTAAAAAAATAATAAAAAATAAATAAAAAAATTTATGTAAAAAATAGATAGTACCTCATTGTGTCAAATTTTGAAATACTTCTTTGTATACTACATTGTGGGTAGTATTAAATGTCCGGCCTTCTTTATCACATATCAAAACTTTCAGTCCACTTTTCTTTGTAACTCTTGAAATTGCGACATATAATTGACCGTGACTAAAGACTGGCCTTGGAAGATAAAGACCCACATGTGAAAGAGATTGTCCCTGACTTTTGTTTATAGTCATTGCAAAACAAACCATCCATGGATATTGCCTTCGTTGAAACTTGAACGGCAATTTTGTATCTGTTAGAGTTAGGAGCATGCGAGGAATAAATACCTTATGTCCAATGTTGCTTCCTGATATTATTTTTGCCTCTATTATATGATTACCCAATTGAGTAATCTTCAATCTAGTTCCATTACAAAGACCATTAGGCTAATCTATATTTCTAAGTAGCATAACCGGAACACCAACCTTTAGTTTCAGAGTATGAACCAGGAGTCCTAAACACTTGATGTTGTTTAAGAAATCTAGCGTATATAACTCTTGATGATCCCTTGTGTTTCTATCCGATGCACAATCTGAGGTGAGATATGTTCTCTCTTCTCCTGAAATCATGGACAATAAATGATCATTAACCTCCTCTACACACTCATTTGTTGGAGCAAGGATATCTCTTTCTTGAAAGTACGAAGGGTTATCCATATTTTGTGATACTAGTTGTTGGAGCACGCGCATCGCGGCAAGATAAGTAAAATTCGTGGTTGTGTTCGGTTATTGTGATATTCGTGGTTGTGTTCGGGTTTTGTAATAGCAAGGATACATGAATTTGTAAGTACTAACAAGGAGTAGTGATAAAGTTTCTATGGGAAAATATCTATGGAAAAACAATTGTTATAAGTGAAGTTATCTAGAATTTGTTATAATTTAAAGATTTTTTTAAAACAATATACTATTGTTTTAGCTATTATTTAGACCACAATGTTGTTTCGAATTGCTTCGTTTTAAAATGATTGTGATAATAAGGAGTAGTAATAAGCGAATGCTTTACTAAAGGTTAAAGTTATGTAATATGGATTAAATGTAAAATATGTGAAAGAATTGTATATTTGTTTGTTAGACTTTTTAAAGTAGAAAATTTTCAAGTGGTTCTTCTATTGAAAATTACAGTAGTTAGAGTTTGTAATCGATACAGAATGTATAAAATGAATGAGAAATATCATATGTGTATGTATTAAAGTTTATTTGCCGGTTATTTATCTATAAATTATTTTATGTACGATTTTTAGATAATACGGTCAGAGGGAATAGCTTTACACTTTTTATATTTAAGTTTACAATCGTTGGAGCACGCACTACGCGTGGCCCCCCGCGGTAAGATATGCAAGATTCGTGGTTGTGATCGTGTTTTGTAGTTTGGGGTGTTATTAACATGATGATTAGGGGATCTTATTTGTGTGGTAATCACTAACTTGTTTTTAAGTTTTTCCTATCTCTTCTTCCTTCATAATATACCCTCTCTCTTATATTTCTTCCTAGTCTTATCTCATTTTCCTTTTCTATTCATCCTTGCTTTCTTTCACCTTCTTGTTCCTTTTTCTCCTTCCTATCCACTCTTCTTGTATAGTTTGAGCGGTTTAGTAAGCCTCCATCTTTCTCTCTTTCTCTCCGGACCCTTCTTTCTTTCCTGACTCATTTCTCTCGTTATCATTCTATCTCTCTCTCTACCCCTCTTTCTCTTAATTGCTCTATTTCTTTCTCTTCTGACCCTTATCTCTCTCTTTTTCTCCTAGCCTCTCTCTCTCTCTCCCTCTCCTCCTAGCCTCTCTCTCTCTCCCTCTCCTCCTGGCTCATCTCTCTCCCTTTCTCTATCCCGACCCTTCTCTCTCTCTTTCTCACCCCTTTCTAGATCCATCTTTCTCTTGTCCCACTCCCTCCCCCCCCCCTCTCTCTCTCTCTTTCTCACCCCTCTCTCTAGATCCATCTCTCTCTCTTGTCCCACTCCCTCCCTCTGTACTTCTCTCTATCTCTCTCTCTCCTCTCACTCCCTCCCTCTTTTCCTCTATTTCTATCTCTTCCTTCTCCCTCCCTCTTTTCCTCTATTTCTATCTCTTCACTCCCTCCCTCTTTTCCTCATTCTAAAAGTGCTACAAATTAGTTAACATTTCCATAATTGTCTTCTCTATATACATTTTATTCTAAAAGTGCTACAAATTAGTTAACATTTCCTCTCGACATTGCCTTCTCTATATGTCTATCTATATATCTCCTTCTCCCTCCGGTCACTTTTCCTCTCTCGACCCTTCTATATCTCTCTCCTAGCCCTTTTCTTTCCTGCCCCCTCTCTTTCTCTCTTGGCCCCTCTATTCCTTTCCCATCCCCCCTCTTTTTTTTCTCTCCCTCACCCCTTATTTCTTACTCTCTATATCTCTTTCTTTCCTCTCTCCAGTCTCTCCCACTCCTTCTCCTTCTCCCCCTTCCTTCCTCCTACCCTCTATCTTTCCAAAGTTAATTATAACTATGGTTGTACAAACATAAAAAAAAATTTACACATTCCTATCATAATGTTGAATAATTTATTCTGAAATTGACTCTAATCAGTTGAATGCCTTAATTGTCACCAAATCTCGTTTAATTAATAACGTTTATTAATTATTGAAAGAAGCTTGTCCAAATTTAGTTGTCGAAATCTACTCCCCCTATCTTGCTATCTTTTTTTTTTCTCCTTTCCCTTTAGCTTTATCGTTCTTTCACTCGCCTTTTATGATTTTGACCATTCTAGAAAGATTTTAAAATGCATTGCCATCTCCTTACTCAATTACACTCTAAAAAGTATTCTTTCTCTTTCCTTTAATTTCCAAAACTCTCTCCCCCTTTTCTTTTTGCTCCTTTTTAATGGTTTTTTTTGGTGTTTCTCACTTCTACCCTCTTATCTACAATTCTACTTTCTCAATGGGGTTTTGGATGTCTCTTACTCCTACCCTGAATTTTGTTTAAGTTTTCATCTCCTAATTCTACTTATTATTGAGAAGAAAAAAAAAAAAGTAACAATTTTGCAACTACATGTCTTCTTTAGCTTTCTTTACTTCCACTATATGCTTTCATCAAACCCCCAATCAGTGTATAATTGCCCCAAGAAAAAGTGAACAAATACCGAGATAACTTATAAAAACTCTACATAACGCGATATGTAACATTCATACAAATGGAAGAACATAGCCCAAAATTACGATTAATCTTAAACTCTCATATCCATCTGAGTAACATCAAATGCAAGAAACTATTTAACAACATTTTAGGCTATCCTAAACTAAAACACTGGAATGGATTATCTACTTAACTTCACAAAAAAATAGTCTGGGCAAAATTATCCAACACCCATATTCTATTATTAAAAACCCAACAAAACCAATCAATTGTTTCCACCAAAAAAGCATAGATTTGTGAATTAACGAAAACTCCAGACCTCAAATCTTTTGCACCATCCTCTCACCTCTAGTTTAGATGTTGCTGCTGCCTCCTTTATACACTACCGTAACCAACCAGGGTCTGCTGCTGCCGCCTTGTTGCTGCTGTCTTTGTTGTGCAGCTGCCACCTCATTATCTTGTTTCTCTCTTTTGCTAATTCAATTCAAGGTTGATGTTGCTCATACAAAATCTGAGCCTTTTATCAATGTACTTGCCTATCATGAAAAAACATCATCTCAGGTAGTGAGCCTAATATAGTGCAGACAAATGATGAAAATGTTAATACCTGATTGCCAGAGGAAGTGACTTAGCATTACACGAAATGATTGGTCATGCCTTCCCAAATCCATAACGAGCCAGAGAAGCATCTTGGCACTCTAAAGATGTCCTGTGCATGACTATACTAAAATTTATCTCAATATGAGAACAGATAGAAGTAATTAACTTCATTTTTCTATAGCTTTAATTTTATTGTTAAGAACATGCATCAAAGTAACTATAGTACCAAATTGAATCATAAACACCCCAAAATAATGAAAAAAAAATTCACCCTCAATTTCTGTATTTATAGAAATTAAAGCACTGTTCATAATCAAGGTAAAAGAAATATAACCAAAAAAAAAAGGAAATTAACACAACCTCAAAAGAAGAAACAATGAAGGAAAAAACAAAGTTAATTATTATAGCATTCATACTAGTCTAAATGTTCAGAAATATGTAAGTCTACCCCTCTTTTGCCCCTGGAACTCAACAAAGCATGGCAAGCAAGCGAGAACTACAACTTTAAAGTTACTACAACTCAGTTGTACCAGGGCTAGCTGACAGGTTTGAGCAACTGTGCATAAAGGATTTAAAAGCCATTTGCATACAACCTATACAAAATCCTACAAATACAACAATCAAATAGATTCAAACTTGAACATTTCACCTATTCATTGACATATATATTCCTATTTTCTAGAACAGGACCCCAATCTCAGCAGAACAAGAGGTAATAAAATAAATAGCAAATTTTCAACCAAATTTAAAACAGGCCACTAATTATCAATACTATTGAATGTAAGCAAGAAATCTAAAATAACACAAGCATCACTAACTCAATCCTATTACAACTATAAAATTAGTCATAATCACACTAAACTCAGATCTTAATCAACCCCCCCCCCCCCTCCCAAACCAAATTAATTAATAAAACTAAGTAATATGTCCCTCCAAGGGAGGCAAGCAATCATCAGCATACTCGCGAAGGACCGAGAATCCTCCATGAGTGCTAGTATCCGAAGACAAATAACTGGACTTTTGGCCTTGGCGGCTCATTCGTTTGAATCAGAACTTTTAAACTCATCTTGCTACAACAATACAAATACAAACAACCCATAATCCACAAATCTATATAAACATCATCATAAACTAAACCCTTCAATACTCACTACACAAATACTTAAACTATTAGTAATCAAACAGTATTTCCTCTTTTTATGGAAGTAAAGTAATATGGGCATAGACAATTCGATACAAAAGCTATACCCTATATTGTCAAATTGATATTAGATGATTATAAAAAGGACACAGATCTTACATCAAGAAGCTGCTTTAATGGAGGAAATTGGCACTCAGCAAAAAACTGAATTAAACTCAGAAGCAATATTTTTTTTTTTAGAAAAAGACCCAGAAAATCCAATTGCGAAAAAAATCAGAAATAAACAAAAATTAATTCAGTCAACATTCAAACAGAAGGAAAAATCTAATTAAAGAGCTGAATATTGAACCAATTAGAACACGAAAGTGAAAGGAGAGAAAATTATACCTGGAGATCAGAGATAACGGCATCGAAGAATCAACAAATTACCTCTCAAGCTGATGCTTCAATGAAGAGGGAAGTTCAGAAGTTGCTTCAGTGGATTTAACAACAGAATACATAATAAACAAAATTCCAAACCGAATTCACAAATAACGGTCCCAAAATTCTTTAACAACAAGAAACTTAATCAATGTGTAATATAACCACTCAAAACTCTCACCATTTCACTTGTCAATTTACAAAAAACAGTTCAAATTTCTCAATCAATCGAAGTAAAATTCCATCAATTCCACAAAACATCAACAACATCAGAAAATTTTTCTAGAAATTAAATAAAAAAACAGACCGAACATCAATACCTGAGTATATTCACCTCAAACTCGAGTCCACCAAACCTTGCTCCATCTTCTCCTTCCACCTATTTTAGAGAGAAAACAGAAAAATAGGAGGACGAGAAAAAAAGGCGAATAAAACGGAAAAAAGAGGAGAAATAAAGAAGAAGAATAAAAACAGTCAACATTCATATATAATAGCTAAAATCTAATTGAAGAGAAGAGATGAAAATTGGATCAATTAGAACAAGGAAGAGAAAAGAGCGAGATAATAATACCTGGAGATAAAGATGGGCAACAGGCCGGACCATGCTGTAGCGGGCCGTGCTGTGCCGCCATTTCCACTAGGCCAGCCCACGGAAAGGCACGGCCCACGTGCCGGGCCGGGCCAGCCAACGGGCCTGACACGTTCTTCAGTTTATTTTTATTTTTTTATAATTAACTAATTAAGTTTATTATAAATTAATTAATTAAATTTATTATACTTGTTATTATTATAATTTATTTATTATACTTGCTATTATAATTTATTATTTTTATACTTGTTATTACTTATTAATATTATAATTTATTTATTTTATTATTATACGTGTTATTATTATAATTTATATTTATTATAGTTATAATTATTTTTTTAATAATTACAATTTATATTTATTATAGTTATTAACTTATTTTGTTTATATTACTCTTTATTTTCTTAACGGCGAAGATGAAAATTTCAAATCTTAACGGCTAAAAAAAAAAAGGAAATTGGACTTTGATTCTTTGAATGTGATCAATGCATAATTCATATTATTATTACTTGAATATTACAAATAAATACATACTTCTTAACGTTTTCAAATATAAATGTTTGATATTAATCTAATAAGTAATAATGATAAAAATCGTACAATGATAATTATTTCGTACAAGGATATTATACAAAAATTGTCTATAATTAGAAGTATGTAATCTATTTATAGTTCTTCATCTATTCTTCTTCTTCATCTTCTTCGTCTTCGCGTTCAAGGTTATCGGCTACTTGAATACATTGGGAACTAGACGAACCCGAACGGTCGGAAGCGGAGGTTCCTTCATCATTGTCGTTGTCGTCGTAAGTACGGTCTTGTGAGCGATTTTCAGCATCCAACCAATCTTTGAAACACACGCACATTTCAAGTGTTTCGGGTTTTAGACTTGTTCTTCTATCATCTAAAACCATCCCAAATGCGCTGAAAGCTCGTTCGAAGGCAACGGATGAGACTTGGATACCAAGAATGTCTCATGCCATTGCCGCCAAAGTTGGATGCTTCGAGCTTTGTTGTTTCCACTATACAAGGAGGTCGAGGCTGTTTATCTCATCGTCGTCCATGCCCTTGGTGAAGTTTTAACTCAGGTATATTTGCAACTCCGAGACATCGCTTTGCGTTCTCCTTATTGATAAATCACCTGAAAACCTTGAAATCAAGTTAGTAGCTTGTAAAAATAAATGCTTGGCCTTTTTACTTACGTTTTTGGATGGTTGGGAAAGGTCAAAGCGAGGAACGGTGCCATATTTGGTTTCATAAACTCTATATAAAGCAAAAAAATGATCCTTCACATTACTCTTGTAGGTTTCTACATTATTGTTAATAAGCATGCATTGAAAATAAATGTCAACTAACATAAATGTATTTTCATACTTTTGCCTAGGATCTAATATGGAAGCAAAAATATAAATTAAAGGAATTTTAGTATAATATTTACGTCACTTTGTTTCCATTGCTGGAAGATATTGATCATAATCACTTTGGTTGCGATGATCAGAGAAAAGTTGGGCGAGTAAACATGCATTTGAAAGAAAGTTTTGAGCACAAGGTTTATAAACAGAAGAAAAACAAAATGTCATGTTGTATAATAATTGTAAAAATTGCATATATCTTTCACATTTATCCCAATCATCCTCATATAAAGCATTGTTTGGAAATTTTCCGTTGTAAAAAATTGTTAAAGGCACCTTATATTCAATTTCCTTAGTTAACATGTCATAGGTGGAATTCCACCTAGTTGGACAATTGGTTTTGATTTATATTGCTCTTATCTTTTGTTGTCTTAGAAAACCTTTCCATTCTTGGTATCTCATATTTGAGCTATTAATATGCATAATAGCTTCTCTAATTTTGTTATAGTATAGACCAATTTCTTTAATTCCATCTTGTACACATAAGTTAAGAACATGGCAAACACATCTAGTATGAAGTGCATCACCATCTAATATTACATCGGTTAAATTTTGTTTCACTAAATTATCAGTATATGTCATTGAGGTTGCATTTTCAAATGTCATAGCCATGATTTTTTCTCTAAGGTTGTATTCATTTATAGCTTCCATTAAATGGTGAGCAATGTTAATACCGGTGTGGGGGTATTCTAACATTTTGAAATGGATTATTCGTTTTTGTAACAACCATTGAACATCTACCCAATGGCAAGTCACACATAAATAGTGATATTTATAACCACTATCCCAAGAATCGGCAGTCAAAGACACTCTACAATTAAGTTTACTCAATTCGTCTTGTAACCACATTTTGTACTCTAGGAAGTTTTTCATTCATGGCGGCGGAGCGAACGGTTTTCCTAGAGATTCTTTTATGTTGGGGTTGTAATGCTTTATTAATGTAAGTGTTAAATGGGTCACTTTCGGAGAAAAGAAAAGGTTGTTCGGCGTGTACTATTATTTTCCCTAGTTCATCCATATCCCTCTCATAGTTGTACGTAAAGCCGTGTGAATGGAATTGGGAAATTTTTGGCTGGGTTGGATCACTAGATGGTTGTGCACAATTTTTAAAGTGTCTACTTAAGTGTCCCGTCCCGGCCTTGGATGTGGACGAGTATATTTTACCACATGTTTTACATTTTGCTCTTGTTTGTTCTTTATTTAGCAAAAAATAATTCCATACATCACTTTTGCGGCTTTTAATATTTACCATGTCTTGTTCAGTTAACCATTGCTCTTGTGTGTTTCAGATCATGTTTGTAGATTCGGGGGTTTGTTGTTGAGTAGTAGACTTGGAGGCAAGGCTATTTTGTTCTCTACCTTGGCTAGTATAAAATTTTGTAGGTCAAAGAAATTAGGTGGGAATTGACCGAATTGTGGAAATTGGTTTTGTGGAAATCCGGGCATATTCATGTTATAGGGTTGAAAACCGAAAGTACTATCATGCCTAAATTGCTCAAAACCTAGGGGGGCGATTCCAGGGTCATTGGTCGGACTCGAGGGGGGGTCATTGGATTAGGTGATTCCCTAGAACTATTACCACGGATAAATTGGGCTTTCCTAGAGGATGATGGGTTGTTCATGTTTGGTGATGCCATAATTAACAACTTAACAATTTTAATAATAACAACAATAATAATTAATAACAACAATTATAACAATAACAAATAATAATAATTAATAACAACAATTATAACAATAACAATAATAATAATTAATAACAACAATTATAACAATAACAATAACAATAATAATAATTAATAACAATAATTATAACAATAATAATAACAACAATAATAAAGATTAGTTAGATCTTACAACCGTGCTTCAACGCTTTCCACTAATTACGATTACGAACTTTTAATTTTTTTTTTATATTAACAAATAATAATTAGAGAATATAAGAGATTAAGATAATTAGAGATTAAGAGAAGAGATGAGTTGAATTGTGATTTGGAAGTGAAGTAAAATTTGGAATTTATAGAAAAAATGGGAGCAAAGAGCCGTTAATGGTCGTTAGAGGGGAAGAAGAGCAACGACTCTAATAGTCGTTTATAGCCATTAATGGCGTGCCAGGTCGGACCGGCACACGGGCTGTGGGTCGTGCCTGGCGGGCCGCCCACGTGCCAAAAAACGGGCCAGCACGGCGGGCTCGTGCTGTGCCGTGCCTGTTTTCTGGCTAGCTTGCACGCGGCACGGCCCATGGCCCGCCTAGCGACCACCGTGCCTGGCCGCGTCGCCGGGCATGTCGTGCCGAGCCGCCTGCAAGCTGGCACGGCCCGTGCCCGAGATCGGAAAATCATCTGCCAAAATCGTAACCTTATTAGCAACCGTAGCGTCGAAGGGATGATCAGTGGGTTTGAGCTCACCGCCATCGTTGCTGAAGGTGTCGAAGCTTTCTCTCTCTAGGGGTTTCTCTCTCCTTGTTTCCCCTAAAAAGTAACTCAACCTTTTTCTTGAGATGAAATGAGATGAGAATACAGACAGCAAAGGAAGTCAGTGGGACTGTGGGAGAGCAGCAAGGATCAACCAATTAGGAATAAGGAGCAGAATAAGGGCATTTTCGAAAATCCATTAAAAACAAGGGTGTCTATGTAATAGCACCACATGTTACTATTCATAAGCTACCGTATTTAGTTTTCATTTTATTTATAAAGGTTATAGATGAATGGATAAACACTATCAACAATTGATGAAATAGGACTTATTACTACATCTTTAATCAATACATCATCCAGAATCTGAATGGTAGCCTCTCCATCATTAGATTCTCCTTCTTTACCATCCCCTATTCTCAATATCCACTCTGAAAACTCTTTGATATCTTGTAAATTCGAGTTTGAACTTCCAACTTCAAGTCTTATGTTTCGTGTTAAAGATAGTACACTACAAAAATCCCATAAGTTCGAAGAGTTGATGGCTGAAAAAACAATATCTTCTCGACTTCCTTTTGGGATGACTGGTAAAATTTGCCGGAAGTCACCTCCAAAAACAACAACTTTTCCACCGAAAGGTTGCTCCATACTTTGTGGATTAGAAAATCGCATAATATCCCTCAAACTCCTATCGAAAGCTTCAAAACAAACTTATGAACCATTGGAGCCTCATCCCAAATAATAAGTTTTGTCTTAATAAAAAGAGTAGGCATGGGGGATCCTTGCTTGATGTTGCAAGTTGTGTCTTCATTTACATTTATAGGAATTGCAAATCTAGAATGAGCAGTTCTACCTCCGGGAAGAAGAAGAGATGCAATCCCACTTGATGCAACATTAAGTACAATTTCACCTTGTCGTCGAATAGCAGCAGAAAGTGTTCTCCACATGGAAGGTTTTTCCTGTTCCGCCATACCCATAAAGAAAGAAAATACCTCCTTTACATCCATCAAGAGCACCTGCTATCTTATTTTAAACTCCTTTTTGTTCATCGGTGAGACATGAAAGTAATCTTTTATATTCTACATCCATGGAAGCTCTATCATAACAAAGTTCTTCTTGAATAAGTTTATTAAGCCCATCAGAGACTAAAGCTTCATCTGGATATGGCAATGGCGGAAACTGTTTAAGGCTGTGGCTAGTACGTTGAAGCAATTTTTCAATTTCAGCTAAAGTGTGATCTTTCAATTCATCTTCACTTATCTGCATGTCTAATAA